TAAAGTGAGTTGTGGTTTTATATTTAAAATCAAATTAAACGTTAAACTGACTCTTAATAGTTTAATTTATTTTGGTGGATGTTTCTAATAAAATTCGCTTCCCACATACAAATATGAGAAGCATATAAAAAAGCAGTTGATTGATAATACCTGAATCTAATAAGAAGCAGTTGATAACACTTACATCTAACAAGCCAGATAGTTACTATAATTATTAAAAAAAAAAAAATCCGTGCCTGAGGATTCAACGCCGTGCCCAACACTAACTGCGCCACGCGCCACGCTCACATCCCAATATCAACGCTTATTTACCTCTTCTAGATGCTATTTCCCCCATCTAATTAAACATCCCTTTCTTTTCTTTTCTTTTCTTTTCTGGGTCAAAACCCTTTTCTTTATTTATTACTAATACCTTTTCCATCTATTAATTTATTTTGCTCCGCTCTGAATTCACTTTCACACTTGTTCATATGCATCCTAAATTACGTAGCTGTTCATATTTGAGCATTAATTATTATTTTTTCCGTTCCAAATTCGAACTGCTCTTTTTAATTTTAATTTGCAGTTATCCTAAATGCATTGTCCTCGGATAATAATCATGGATCTCTTGCTCCTTCTTATCAAGAAGTCAGATCCAATGGTTTTGTTTTTTAAAAATGGGCCAAAAAAAAAGCGCTATTATTACTTTTCCTGTTTTCTTTTCAAATGTAGGTGTTTGGATTGCTCAATAATCACTTCTAAAAAGTATTTTTTTCAAATTAAAATAATTTTTTCATATATTTATTTATAAGTCATAAAATATTTTTAAAATTATAATTTTATTTTATCTAAACACCTCGTAATCGGCTAATGACTGGTAGGAACTGATGGTGGGTGGCTCAAAAATAGGCTACTGTATAGGGCTTGGGATGTCCATCAAGGCCCTTACTTTTCTTTTTCTTTTTTTCCCGGTGACGAAAGGCTCTTACCTTTTGGGCTGTTATCTGCACTCACGCGCTTTTAACCTCTATCTCTGGGTTTTTTTATTAGAATGCGTGGATTAATATACAAAAATAAAGAGGTGACTAGCTCTGGTTGAGTATCTGAGTCTGGTAAAAAAAAACTAACTCTTCGTAACGTGACAAACTAAAATTTGATTTTTTTGTTGAAAGAGATTCTTATATTTAATATCTGATAATACATCAAATAACACTAAAAAAGGGCTAAATTGGTCGGTTAGGCCGCATTTAAAAAAATACTCATTTTACAAAGCATGACCTTTATACAGGCGGGCTTAAGCTAACCGGCCGACATTGGCCTACTTAGGATTTTTTTTAATTTATTATACATTTTGATGTGTATAAAAGCAAAATAATAAATCTTACAGGATTCAAACTTCCAATCATTAATATTGAGAAAAAAAATGCTACATTGTTATCCAAATTTCTAAAACTAAACAAAATCAAGCCATTGTCCTGAATATTATACGAAGCACAAACTAAAAAGTAAATAATAGCAGTGTCATAAATATGGTTTTCATCTCTATCTTCAATATTAATGATATTTAATTTTACTTTATTATGAGTAAGCTCTTTTTCAGTAACAAAAATATCAAGGTTTCCTTCTCTAAATAAATTTTACTTTCAAAATTTATAACATAGTTATTATTATATTTTAATTTGAGTTACATTAAAGTTAGAAGTCATAAATTTCTAATTCAAGTTATAAAATCATAAGTCATATAAATATAAAAATACCCTATTATCAAATACATAAACATATAATTTAAAAATATTAACACGTATAATATAAATTAACTCATTTTTTAAAGTTCAATCAAACGACTCTTGTCTGAAACCAAACAAACCAAATCATCTAATGAAATTCAATTTTAAAATGATAATGATAATTAAATATTTACAATATCATTAACAATGTGAAAAAAAAAAATAGCATCGTATAAATAATATAAAAAATAAAAAAATAACAAGAGTGCCTAAATAGGCTAACCCTTTTAGACTCGCTTCTGATTTGAAGGACAAAATCACAAGTTCAGCCCTTATATTTTTTAGGCTTAAATGGGCTCAGTGCCTTTTTTTTTTTTTTCCTGTTTTAGTCTCGAATAAAATTATTTTTAATAAAAAAAATATATGCATAGTGAAAAAAAACAAATTAAAAAAAAAAAAGATGTGGGCGTGTATAATAGAGAGCCGAAGGGGACATGGATTAATACGCTGAACCTAATGATTAGTATGAACAAAATAATATTATCCTTGATCCTTAATCTAAGAGTTAATTTCATATTTAATTTGATTTTAAATATAAGATGTTACTTTACTTTATTTTTCATACTTATCTATTTTTTTCAGGATAATCCTTGTCGTGGTTATATATGTTAAAGGTTTTATTAAACGACAGTTATAGCTAATACACATAATTACCAAAGATATTTTAGAGAAACAATACATATTCATTATAAATAACTAAATTAATTGTAGAATGAGACTTGACCTTAGGTGACAATTGGTTGAAGGGCGTATAAAAACCAGATAACATGAGTTGCATATGCTTGATCTTACTTATATACTGAGGATGCCTAGTTACATATAGGACCTAACTTTATATCGTTGATCCTAATTGCATATTTTTGATCCCATATTGCATATAATTGATCCTGATTATATGTAGAGGGTGCCTAGTTGCATATATGACTTAATTACATATCACTTGTTCTAATTATATATCATTGATCTTCAGTTTTATATGCTTGATCCTAATTGTGTATTATATTTGCCTAATTGCATATACTACCTAATCACATGTCACTTATTTTAATTGCATATCTCTGATCCTAAGCTGCACATGCTTGATTTTAATTATATATTGAAGATGCCTAGTTGTATATAAGATCTAATTATATATCATTGATCTCCAGTTGCATATATTCAATTCTAATTGCATATTGTATATGCTTAGTTGCATATAAGACCTAATTGCACATCTTTGATCTCTAATTGCTTGTATTTGATCATAACTGTATTTCACTGAGGGTATTATGGTATTTTTATTCTTTTTAATTCTTAAAAAAGACCTCAAAAATTCAAATCCCATTCTGCAGTTAATTTTTTAAATAGGGATTTATCCCCAATTTTTCTTTCAACATTTCATACACATAATTAAGAATAAAGAGGAAGGCCCACTCGGTAAGTTTCTTTCAAGTAAAAGGGTATGACAAGGCAACACGAAACTGAAAACAACGACATGTTAGATTGTATTATCATCCCCATAGATTATTCACCTCCTGTGCTAAGGCGGAATTGTAAAACGTACGGTATACCATATTGTACTTTAATGTCCTGTGTCGCTTTCATAACGCCATCAGCACATCCATTGGCCCAGTGAAAGTGGATAATCTTCATTAATGCCACGAGCTTGGTTTTAAAAATATTTTAATCAAATTGAATCTTCAAAGAAAAATGTCTTAATCAATGAGCTATGGAAATGCTGGGATAAGCCTGACGCAATAAGAGTCGTATTCCTTTTTATACGAAAGTGGCCGGCGTACGCCTGGTCCATTAGAAATCTTTACGGGAATGGAATACAGCTCTGAGATGGGGCAGAATTTTGGTGAGCCAGGGATGCCTGGCAGAGCACTGGCACGAAGAAAATGCGCAGGGCAAATCGAGGGAAGTTAATTTGTTTGGAGTTGTAATCCAATCCAACATCCAGCCTCTTGCTCATTTTATATTACAAAATATGCATTGGCGTCCCTTTCCTTACTTAGCCCCCATCGGTCCATCCTCTTCTTCCTCCAACTTATTCTCACGTGTCCTGCCCACCACAATATATGGTTCTACTTGCTCCATTAACAAAACAGGATAACGTGCCTCTCCATTTTCCTTTTCTGCGATCGGTATTCTTTTATATACCCAGTCTCTCCATTCTGCTGAACCAGCCTCTGCTCCGCAGCAGTGTTATATTAATATTCACACAGCCATGGTCGCCAACACTCTTATCCTATTTATTCTGCTGCTTCTTTCATTTTGTTTCCTCTCTTGCGAGGCTTCCTCCCGGAACTCAGATAAGCGCACAGACTATGAGAATTGGATTTCTTGGAACCTCCAGAATTACCGGAAGGCGACGCTTTTGAGGACCCAATGGAATGTGAGAGCACCTGATCTGAAGCTGGGGGTGGCTGAGAGTAACAGGGTCAAAATCACAGTTCGCCAAGACGGTACTGGTGACTTCAGCACCATCACACAAGCGCTGAAGAGCATTCCGCCACGCAACATCAGAAGAGTTATCGTTTCGATTGGACCGGGCGTTTACAGGTACGAACATTATAATACCAACTACTGGTATTATCTCTCTGTCGCATTTGTCAGTGTTCAGTGAATGCTGATACATATATACTACTCACTTGGGCGGGATGACCAACACAGGGAGAAGATTGTGATACCCAAAAATATGCACTTCATAACATTGTTGGGCGACGCCGCGAGTCCACCAACTATTACAGGGAACGATACGGCGTCCGTCTTTGGAAGGGATGGGATGCCATTTGGCACATTCCACAGTGCCACGGCCGCTGTAGATGCTAATTATCTTGTCGCCATCAACATCAAATTTGAGGTACCCCTGCTTCTTCAAAACTCATGCAAAAGCTTACTGTTGAGTAATTAATCATCTAGCCGCTTTTATACCACAGACTACTCACGGACATATACCATATTCTTTGAATCACGGTTTTTTTGGGGGGGGGGGGGCGTGGGAGGGGATGTAAAGCTTGGAAGAGCAAAAAAGGGTTCTTGTTTTGTGCTGGAGACACTCCACGGCTCCAAACAAGAAATGGTGAGAGTAGAATAAGACATGACTACAGTCACGGGTCTGTAACGCGACTATGTGTATATAACAAAAAATAGAGAAAGCGAGATACTTTTAAAGAAAGACAAGGGAAGAAAAAGAAAGAAAACTGACAAGTAGGAAAAGCGTTGAACTTTCTGGTGAAACAGAACACGGCATGGCATGAGGTGGGAAAGGAGGGAGGACAAGCGGTGGCACTTCGCATCTCAGGGACCAAAGCTGCATTTTACAACTGCAGCTTCTACGGGGATCAAGACACGCTCTACGACCACAAAGGACTTCACTACTTTAGTAATTGCTTCATTCAAGGCTCTGTTGATTTCGTCTTCGGCTCCGGTAGATCCCTTTACGAGGTCGTCTTCCCCTCTCCTCCCTTTTGATCTAAACCCGTACTTAATTTTTGCCTGCTCAAGGCTGAATGGGAGAAAGTAAGTTGCTGATTGGGCGGAACCCATTTGACCCGCAGAACTGCCATTTAAATTCAATAGCGAAGAAGGCGGTGTCAATCACGGCTCAAAAGCGCACAAATGCATCGCTGGAGAGCGGGTTTTCGTTTAAGAACTGCGCCATAACGGGAAGTGGGCAAGTTTATCTGGGAAGAGCGTGGGGTGATTATTCCCGGGTTGTTTTCTCTTACACCTACATGGACAAGATCGTTGTGGCCCAAGGCTGGAGTGACTGGGGTGACCAAAAGCGCGACTTGTGAGTTAATTCTAATACCACACTCCAACCCTAGACAAATTCTTAATTACTATTACTAGTATCTATCTATTTATAGCCGTCTAAGCGCATCCACTGTAAACAAGTGCAGGAGAGTGTATTATGGAGAATACAAGTGCAGCGGACCTGGTGCTAACTTGACAGGAAGAGTGGCATGGGCGCATATCCTCACCGACCAAGAGGCTCTGCCTTTTCTCGGAACTCACTACATTGAAGGCGACACTTGGCTCATTCCCCTCCCCATCTGATTAAAATCCCGATCGTCCCCGTGCCATCTCCAAAATTATGAATCTTGCCATTTTAAAATAAATGAAAGAATGAAATATTTTCATCATTTGGACCCGCATGTTTGTTTACTATGATCACGGATGTGTGTATGTTGATTATTATCACATCTTAAAATGTTGACCTCCCCACAAGCGATGCGGGGAAACCAGAAGCAGGTTCCTGCCGTCGTGCTGCTTGCGAAACAATAGCTTCATCAGCGTTATGGACGGTCAACTTTACTAATAATTCTTCACCTATAGACTATTTTTAAAATAATATTTAATTATAAAATAATGATTGTTAAAGTTGGTAAGATGGGCGTTGAACAAGCAAAACTCGACCTGACTCACTAAACGAGATTGGTTGGGTTCTGGACATGAACGTTGAACATGCACGGCTGGGTACTACTTCACGGCCAAATGGCGTGGCGACGTCAAATCTACATAATGCCTCACGTAGGAGGTCAAATTTACAGAAATTTGAGGCTTCTGCGAAAGGGGAGATCCTCAAAAACATAATCTTGAAACAAAAATGTTTTTTTTTTTGTTTGGGGGGGGGGGGGACACCGACAAAATGTAGATGGGAGATAGGCAGAGTGCAGGGATCAGGGAGAGGCAGAAATGAGGAGGGGAGCATCCTGGGCCTTAAAGAGATCGAGGCGAGTGTGTCGGAGGGCGAGAGAATAGGCGGCTTGCTTGTACTGAGCCCAGGTGAAGGGCTTGTACAGAGGGCGCTGGTGAGGGGACAGCAACACGGGCAGGGGCCTGATCCAGGAATTGGGCGCGGGCGCTCCGAAGTACATCATGGACATTCTAGACTTGCTCCCGTTTGTCACCGCTCTGTGCCTCACGCTTCTGAACCTGCCGTTCGTCAATGCCTGCCATGGAACCAGAGGGTATTAATATTAATATTAATGTTAATAGTAATCCTTAAATGACGATACATACACAAGGGAACGAGTTTGTGATGAAGAGTGGGGCCACCTGGAGGGAATCGCCGACCATGACAACGAATTCACTGGGGTCGGGTGGGACGGGGATCCAGAGGCCGTCGTGGGTGGAGATCTGGAGGCCGCTGACGTCGTTGGAGCGGAGGATGGTGAGGATCTGAGGGTCAGAGTGTTCCCCGAAGCCGACGTTGTTACTGGGCAGCACCTGTGATGGGTCCCCCTTCCCCTTTGCCGTGGCCGGGTAGTGATTCAGCCTTAGCACTGAGTCGCTGTGGGCGTCCCTGATTAACCTGCTCAGCGCCAACCTGTCCGGAATCCACAATCCCTCTGCCACGAGCTCCAGTATCTCACATGCCACTTCCCTTGCTGCTTCTATGTACTCATTCACCGCACAACTGCGCCACCACATGCACACACCCCCTCTTTAATTTCTTGCAATGATGTATGCTCTGAAAACTAAGGGACAAGCGCAACGCACCCAACCAACCTAGATTTGCAGTATTACGGATATGATATGTTGCCTACAGAGTATAGGCTCGGTGAGTGGCCTAAGTCTGTATGTGCCTATAATTGTCCCTTGTTCGGGCAAGGCACTTGACCATGACTCGACCCAACGGATAAGAAAATTGATTCCTAGTCTAGAAATTAGCATGGCTTCCTTTAAAAAGGTATCGGTGCTTTATCTGATAGGGGGTGCCGTGCCAACAGATTAGCCCGACGACGAACCGTGGCCGTGGTCCACCGCCATTAGGCCCTAGCCCCACGTTGCCAAAACCATTCACACTCACAGTGCCATGCAAGTTTCCAAGAGACAAAAAGGGCTACGGTTCATTTCCCCACCCCACCCCAACAAAACCAGATCATCTCTTCTCAAGTTGAAATCTCGACACCCTGCCATGCAATACGATGAGCTGTTCGGTTTGGACCATTTTTTTTCTTTAGGGCAGCTGCACGTGTCCCTTCCTTCCGTACCTTTTCGTCTCTGATATTCTTACTAATTTATTTCAAAGAAAAGGCCCCCGTAACCCAATCTCCGCTTCCCTCGTTAAATTGATTCGATATTATATTGCTAATGTCACAAAGGATATATGCGTCTGTCTACAATCCCACACGTATAGCCAAATTAATTAATATCATAGACAAAATTAATATGACATCGAGTCTTTGTTTGTGGACCCGCTGTCGTAGTTAACGCTTATTTTACTGGTTCGCATTTTAACGGCCCCTTTTCAAGTGTTGCTATAATCAGGAGATTGCGATGGCACGGTGTATATTAGATATATATGTTAAGCTCGTTGAAGAATGATCAGCATTCCGCACGAGCTCCGCCAGCCTGCCTGACCCTAAACAAAAACAAACAGAGAGCCTTTTTCCCCCGGGCCTAGAGAAAGTGTCGCGCATATACATAACTCGTGAAAGATTTAAAAGTTGCGGAGCATCATAATAATGGAAATCTAGCTATAGCTAGCTGGCTACTTAATGCTCGCTGGAAAATGAGGTATTACCTGAATTCGGTAGGGTCTTCAGAGATGGTTTTTGAACTCTGAGAAATGGATAGAGGATTGGTGTGAAGGAGAAGATACTCAAGATCACCGTTATCGCCATGGGAGCCGATGTTTCTGGAACCGTAGCCGAAAGGAGTGGCGGGACCGGCCTGGAGCTTCTCGGAGACGGGTCTGGAGAAGAAGCGATTGCCTTCCTCTTCCAATCTCAAAATGACCCGCTTTGGCACGCCATGGTTGACCACCTTGAAGATCCCATGCTGCTCGCAGGCTTTCACCACTAGTTCCGAAAGCTCTGACCTTTCCATAGAAAGGTCGACGGTCGGAATCCCCACGGCCGTTGTTTTCTTGCTTCGAACGGAAGGCAAAAGCATGTCTGCAATCAATATGTGTATCCGAAGTGATAGGAGAGAGAGAGAAATGGAGGGTGAGTTATGGCCTGAGAAGTTGTGGCCAAGGATACATATAATGGAAGAGGAGGAGGGAGGGTTATAATTTTTTTCCGCCCAAAAGAAAAGGGAAAAAGGGGTGATAGTGGTATGGTAATTAATTAAGGAATTGTTTATTAGGAAGTAGGAGCATAATAAAAAGGGGGCGTGGACCTTTGTAGTGAGGAAGTCAAGATATGGGGTGAAAATAAATAAAAAGGGAAGACGGGGGAAAATCAGTGTGCGTGCATGAAGTGACATTTGGATAGATGGATTAATAAGGAATGTGGAGGTCGATTTGCCAATCTGCCCTGCACATCCTGCACCACACCTACGTATGAACATGAATCTGAATTTGAATGTGAACCCAACTTGGATCTGCAACTGTTCTGCTACCCTCTTATGCCGTCGCAATACGTAATAGGATGCAAATTCAATCACCACGAGCCATCCTGCGCGCGTTCGCCCCAAACAATGGACAGGTCCCTCGCTTTTTAACGATTAGCCACAGCGCGTTTTGCTCTACCTCCACCTCCACCTCTCCCTCCCTCCCCCTCCACATCCAAGTTTTACGTGTAAGTTTTGACTTTCTCCCATCTCTGACTCACCTGCCCTGTTGCATATTATGTCTCCCTTCTCTCTCTCCCCGTTTCTTTAATAATACTGCATTCGGTTTTTAACAGAGTCTTGTAATTAAGATTGAAAATAGTAGTATGAATAAATTCACCTTAATATCTGATCCGCATTGTTTCGCTGAATATCTAATCGGGGTTGCAGAGCAAGCATGAAAATATGATGTTCAAATCGAATCTGACTGCTTAAAATAGGGGATGATGTGATGTTGGAGTTACTGGGAGGTGAAAAGAAATGTGGTCAAGGCGTAGGTGCATAGCAGATCAAAAATGACCGGGCGCACAAGCTTGCAAGATTCAGAGAATGTGTTCACAAACTATAATAAGAAGCTGGGAATCTGATGTTCGCGGAATTTCGGACGACACCATGTCGGATATCCTCTTCTCAGGGACGGCTCTTGTTTAAACATGTTCCCGCCTACATTCGCCACTTGAATGTGTTTCGTCTGTTGTTCTTGGCAATCATAATTATATATATTTGATGAGCAGATTATATTCTAATTAATTGACTATTAGCAGTCATTCCGCGGACACATTTGTCAGTGGGGGGTGTCATGTCGCTATTAATAATGAGTAATTTGTGTTGACCACGTCATTTGAGTCCTCCCCAGATTTTTCTTCTCTTTTCACCCAGCCATTCATTTTCTTCCGTCTTCTTCTTTTTTTGAAAAAAAAGAAAAAAAACTTTTAGTAACAAAAGTTTGTTGTCTGTCCACCTTTTCTCATGGAAGAGGATCGTCAGTTAAGCAACAAGGGGCAAATGGCTTACGAGGACTTAATCGATGGATCAGTCACGTCGTATCCGAAGACCATTACCCACACATATGTAAGTGTCAGCCACGTACGCATACGCGACCAGACATATCCATATAGCACATTTTAGTTCTCCCAATATACGCACGCACCGTCTTAACGTCAATTGGTGTTTGCTTTTAATTAGCTTGATGTGATATTGCATCTCAATGGTTACGTAAGGATCCATGTGTGTATATACTCGGATGCAAGTAATAATGTGCATCAAAATGATCGCATTATCCCATTCCTTCTGCTCCGGCATGTGCGTGTGTGACTTTACACGCGTGTATTAAATGGAAAAATGAGAAATCACCAATCCCATGCATGCACATTAATGTATTTATTTCTTTTATATATATATGTAAGATAGGATTAAGACTTGATGAATCTTTGTCAACATCTGTTCACCCCACATCTCACCCCACCGTATACCACTTCATCTGAGCTTCACGCATTTTATCATAAACATGATTATAACCCACTGCACTTTAAGTAAGTAATAATGGAGTACTGAGGAAAAAAGCTCTCAAGTACTGAGATTTGGTGAAGATCTAGCTGATTGTAATAGACATGAGCAAATAGATTTTTCCCCTTATATATATGCTGCCCTCTCTCTATTCAAATATAATCGTTGCTTTGAAATTATCCACATATATTAAGAAAAACCTAACAGATAGCTTCAAATTTAAACCTGATTCAAATTTTAACTAAGAAAGCACTAATTAAAATAAACATTTCTCATCCTCTCCATCAAAGTATAACTCTTGAAGAGACAATTCTTTCTTAAAATCTAAAAGTGAAAAATATTTTTAGCGATAGATGGAAATGTCTTTCGATTTGTGTCGTTTTGTGTTAAACTCTTTTCAATTAATTTGCATTAATACAAAAAAAATAAAAGTATTGCTATATTTTCAATGTACTCAGAAAATAAGATGAATTAACAATTTTTCATATAATGGAATAGCGCTTCAGGCGTCGCATCGACAGGCAGTGTTTCTAGCACAAGATTAAGATGAACTGGCAGTGCGGAAACAAGATAGTCTGATCGATTAGAAGTCATTTTCTTGAATTTGAAAATGATTAGACAATGGAAGAAGATCTGTTTTTTCGAATGATAGTAAATATTGTGACGGGGCATCATAGCCGCCGGAGGTGCTAATAATTAATATAGCAAGTCAAAGAAATAATATAATATTGAATTAATAAAAGTCATTGAAAGATCGTGCTCGCTTTTTTTAGATGATTGAAATTTATTTAAGGAATAGAAGCAAGAACATGGAAATGGAAAAGGTCAGTAAATAGGTGAATAATAGAAGTGAAATTTGTAATTGCATTGGAGAGTGAAGAAAAAGGGAGCGAGCCAAACTGTGCCTGGGCCTCGGCGGCTCTATCGGCATATATTTGTGGGGGAGCAGGTGGAGTTTTCTTATTCTACGCTCGCCACGTGGCGCCCTTTCAAACCCCCGTGCCCGTTTCCTCCGTTCAGCCTTTTGAAAATTCCCTCCCACTCCCCCTCCCTCGCCATCCTTCTCGCTCTGCCGCCGTCCCATTTACAATTTCACTTCATGCCTCCGTCGGGCCCCCCCACCCGATCTCTCATACATACATAAATATATATATATATATATCACTATTTTATCTAGGAGTGATAGTGCACTGATAAATTAAACCTCGGATTTCGTTCCTCTCCAATAATTATTTAATCCGCTTTTCCAACTGTCATCAATCACTAGGAAGCAGTAATTATGATTACACATATTCTTTAATCTCATCGTGAAAACTAACTGGATGTTAATTTCAGCTTTTGAGGTTGTCACGGGTCAACCAACTCCAGGATCAGTGATTAATTACGTTCACCGTGTTAACAGGAGCGAATCTATCTATTTCAGTACTCTAAATACCTGACTTATCCATCGGCTCGAGTACGCATCAGAAATGATCACCACGGAATCTTGGGTCCCCACCTCCTCCCAAAAATGATGGCGTCGGCACAAATCACTCTGCCTGGCTCAAACTGTAAACGGTTGGTACAATCTACTACAATTAACAAGTGCGCAATATTTTAATTGAGTGGGTTACATATTGGATGACCCATAATATTATAAGAGTGAATTCTCTGCAATTATTAGAAGCGATCAAGTATCTATCCGTTAAATGATGGGAGGCTTAGTAATATATTATTTTCCCCTGTGAGCAGCCGAGACAGAGTCTTGAATCCAATTGCTTATCATGTCCCCTCTGGTCCTCCGGGAATTTTACAGGGTCATCTGTTTGGTGAATTATGCAGGCTGTGAGGGTGGTGGGCTTTGAATCATAATAATGCTGGTTTGGTAAATGACATGATCGATCGAGGAGACCCAGATGACTTGACAAGAATACAAGTAACGCAAGTAGCACACCCACATATATAGACACTGACACGCATATATGATTTTATTTAATACCAGTTAATTAGAGGATCGGAGGGGCTTCCTGTTTCTAATTAGCGCCATGTAGCTAGGTGTGGGCACAGTGCGATTCGACTCGATCTTGAGCGAGGCTTGAGACCCAGGTTTCTAACATGACAGACGCGGAGAGAGGATGACCAAGAACTAATATTGAAGGCACAAGGCCAAAGCTTTCAATTCAAACGTTCTATTTATTCTGGAAAAGTGGGGTTGAAGACTTTTTGTCCCTGAAAAATACTTATGCCGTTTCAGCAAACAAACAAAGCAAGTACAACACACAGCCATCACATTGCATGTTACACAAATAACGCGCACCACAGCATCAGGACAGAAACAACCGAACAAAATTTGCATACATGTAAGCTACAAGTACGAGACTCCAGTGTAAACGAACTTAATTTCGTGATGGTACAAAGCCTCGCTCGTCCAAAGCCCATTCTCGAAGACACCGATGGAGATTCGTCTAGAAAAGGATGGATGGGAAGGGATGAAAACACGGGCCATCCAATACAAATTAACATCTTCCGAAGCTACAGAGCATGAACATTTGCTCAAACACTTTCTCAATTCCTATGCTTTCACAACCTTTTCCAATATTTCTTTGCGGAACTTCGAATAAATTTGCACGATTTATTTGTAAAGGCTCAGGGTTGGAACCCAAACGAAAAAAAATTATAGTAAATAGACATGTTCCTTTATAAAAATTATATCGGAGTTTTGGGTTTAGTGTTAGTGATTCTAAATTAGCTCGAGTTTGACAAAAAGGGGGTCCAAATCTCTGGGGGTGCGAAATCTTATAGTCATAGTTAGAGGGGCCAAAATATCAAAAATTAAACCCTTACACGTAATTTTCCCCCCAAGCATGCGCCCTTATGCATTTGGCTCCGCCGCTAGGTGTGAAAGCAGAAGAGGCTACTATAAAAAAAAACTTTCACGATGTTAATTTTCAGTGATTATTAAAAAAAAAACACTGAAAAAAAATATGACGGTGACATTTTTATAATTGTAGGCATATTTTTAAAGGCGGTTTTTAAGAAAACCGTCATAAAAAATATTTTTAACGGCAGTTTTTTAAATAACCGCTATAAAAAGTCTATCAGAATTTTAAAACCTATCGCGTAATAGTT